GATACCCTAGTTTAGATCCCCAGGTGGAGCTGGCTCCATCCCTAGCCTTCTCTTTGAGACTGTGGTCCTCATTCTTGTTGACTGTTTCCCCGGCTTACATTATAACACCTGTGATGCTATAAACACCAGATACTAACAAATAGTAGTAAGATTGTGTCTTCTCATTTTCTGAGCACTAGCAAGGTACAGGCTTAAAAATAATCATAAGATTGATTCAAATTGAATTATAGGGAAGCAAAGCATTAAAGTAAAGGGAGGTGACAGGACTTATCATTAATAAGGGCAACTGAACCGTGGAGTGGTCAGCATTTTTTTGAAATCTCTGGTGCATTGTACCAATCAAGCCAAAGAGCCACAATCTAGTGTGTATTTTTAATGCAAGCTGTTCAATGTTGTAGCAGCAAAATTAATGATACCCATCTCTCAGAAACCTGATCTCAGCTGACGCTATTTTATCAGGAAAATAATTTCTTATAGTTAGTTGGATGTACCAAACACATGTTTCCAGCTGGTCAGCAATCTTCCTTCTTAACCTTTAATCTGCTCCAGGCTGTTCCTACAGATTACCAGACAAATGATGTTCTGAGAATTATGGGTCTCTGCAGGTTGAAGGAGGCAGCTTCATTGTTACTATTTGGAGGGCTGCCTCCCACTGAAGGTCAGTGTGGGTCTCTGCTTGTGTGGGCATGGTGGTATATGCAGGGGAGCCATGTGCACTAAGGGAAATGGTTTTGTGTATGCATGCTTTTCTTTTAGTGTGGGTTATCAAGCTGAATCTTGAAAGTGTCATTATACTTGTTCAGAAGGGAGGCAGAGAGAGGGCCCTAATTTTACAAGTACATGGGGATTTCTTTCCCCTCTCTTAATTCTCTCTTGAAGAACACCACCCTCCAAATCCGGAGGTTTCATCTGCTTTTAAGCTGGAAGCTTCTTCTTTAATGGCTTTGTGACTCACAGGGCTCGGGTGATGGTTGCTTTTTCTGTGTATAGAACTATAATCCTTCTCAATTATCAAAGACATAAATTACTATTATTTCCTTACCAGATCGAACATCTTGCTTAAATATGTGAAAGAAAAATTGTTGGTTGTCTGGTGAATTTTCCTCTTGGAAAAACTGCCTATTCTTAATCTACAAGTTCAATGAAAGTTCAAAAGTTTATCAGTGCAAACTCTATATTCTAATAATTCATCAACCAGCTTCTGCATCCACATCAGTAGACTCCAGGTTGAGACGTTTTTGTCTTTTCTCCCATGTAAAAGTAATCAAACAGCACATTTCCTGGGCATATCACAAATACCTATTGATCATAATCAGAGCACAGATGGTATGAGAGAGCTTGGCTGACACACAGACCCTGATGTCAATCACAGGAACAAATTGATTTTGACTGCCTGGTCACGATTCTTCTACCCCAGCAGAATTCCATTCAGTGCTGCGTTTGGAGAATTTTGAGCAGACAGCATTTCTGAAGGGGTGTCATAGTCCAAAGTTAATGTAGAGGTAAACTTGATTATGCCAAAATGGTGATTTTAATGTACTTCATACTTACCTTTACCACAAGAAGGTCAATATCTTTCTCCTGTGTTGAAAGAGTCTCATCAATTTAAAATTTATCCTGATTTATGTCTGCTAATTAGGGGAAAGGAAAATACCGATTTGCATTCTTTCATGACAGTATGCGGTGCCATTGCTACTTTTCTCCAACTGGATTTGTTTTCTTACTGAGTTTTTAAAACTTAATTATTTTGTTTTTTAAAGATGCCAAATCGATGTTTATTTCTAAATTTTACAAATTATTCTCTTTAAAATTTCAAAACAAATGAAACTTTTACCGAGTTTGTAGTTCACTTGCACTCCATGGATCTAGATCCCTCATTTAATTTTCTTCCCGTTCCTACACTTCTTATGCTAAGCAATACTTATTTTATATTATAAGATTTCTTAAAAAAAAAAAAAAAAAACCCCTGATTATTTTCTGCCCAGAAGTAACCCCTTTCCAGCCTTTTTACCTGGTGCATATTATTTTTTCCTTCCTTCCTTCCCTGACTCCCCACCTCCCTCCTTCCCTCCCTCCTTCCTTCCTTCCTTCCTTCCTTCCTTCCTTCCTTCCTTCCTTCCTTCCTTCCTTC